CACTGAACGCTGTTCAAACCTATAACCAAATTGTCAGTACACACTATACAGTTTACAATTCATAAAAATTAAATCATATTTGATTAATTCAAGGGCTTCACAAATATGGCGTCGTATAACGAATTTTAAATTTATGTAAAACGTGCAACAATATTATGTTGTATAAACTGTGTACTGTGTAGACTTCCGTATTTTATATTTTTATAATATTTTATAATATGGACTTTATAATTAAATCATTTCGTATTAATCTCGAAACAAAAAACCTGTGACGCTATCTTAAAAGTTCGGATTCAATCCAGTAAATTGTCAATGATCATATTTTAACGGTACCTGCCTGCAATCGGAGAGCAGCTGATCAAATATGTCAATCTTTTTGTGTGCATGCCTTATATAATACACCTAAACGTCAAACCGCTTATACCTGCAATACATCTGTCTAAAATGGTGTAACACTCTTGAGTATAATTCATACAGGTTCATAATATTAACAATAGAGTTTTGTAAAATTCATTTGATGAGACACTAATTCTTTTTATATTCTCTTTGCATAATAATATCACAATAATTAGTCAAATAATTGAATGTATTAATAATATGTACAACAGTTCACTAAAAAATCTCTATTTTTAACTTTTTTAACACTAATACCGCAATAGCATAATTATATTGTCTTCTACACCAATAACGTTTTAAATAGGCATTTGTCGATTGAATTTTTATATTAATGTTTTAAACATGGGCTTTTAGTTTTTGTTTAATTTACATGCCTCTATACATTTTTCTTCGGTGGAAATTAACATAGCAAGAGAAAAATCGATTGATAGAAATACCCATTGAACACATAATAGTAACAGTCAGTATTGGTATTTGACCAGCAGAATTTGAATATTTTGATTTTTAGAATATTATGCCATCACTAACATTAAATCTGTAAATATATAATTTTTATTTTGTATACAATATGAAATTTGTTTATTTTCGTAAAACAAAATCGGTTTTCTCATGTCCTACAACAGTCCCCGCGTGTCAGACTATTGAAGATTGCACGGATATGGATCGTCACATTTCGAATAGACTTTTTAAACTTTAAACGCATTAAGTGGCATCGGTATATTTCCAAAGAGTGTAAAATATTGTTGATGCCCGTATTTTCTAAGTTTCCGGGGTTAAAAAACCGTATAATATATTTAAATACTCTATTTACATAATATTTCCCATACAGCTCGACAAAAAAGGTTGTGTTTCAGTTTGAATTTTCTTCAAATATTTAAGTACGACCATATCATATTCGAAAAACAAAAATCGGTTATACTAAGAGCTGATATAATATTTTTTATCAGTCGAGTAGTCCTAATGGCGTTTAGCATTAAGTGTGGTATAGGTACCTAACACATTGGTATAACATTATAATATTACTGTCTGTGCTGCAGTGCAGGGTACCTCTGTACATCGCATTAGCCGCTTACGCGTCGCACCCTTTATTCACTATAGACCTGGTTTTGATTTTCGTTCCCAAGACCTATTTAACATTCTGACGCGATCCGGAACAACGCGGATTTGTCAAGGTATACGGTTTATACAGGTACCTATGTTGCCGTAAATATATTCGAGATCGAACACCTTGTGGCTCCTATCATTTATCATATTTTCCATTTTACGACTGACGAAAAACATTAATCTCCGCCGTGATTCGTACACGCCTCGGTGGGATTTTTATTCAAATCACGTAGTTACGGTTCATTACGCGTTTTATTTTATTAATACAACAATTTTCGGCGGCGGCGGCGAGCCAGGGGTGGGCTGAGAACAGCCCCCGAAGGTAAACAGGCTGCTGTGTGTATATATTATGGAACTATATATATATCAGAAAATAAAACCTCACGAAACGTTTCTACACCTCGTTTGCCGTCTACCAACGGTCTATTTTACGGCACGCCGACGACAATAACGCCAAATTTCCGTGCACAAGTTGCGGGTGGACGTTTTCTCGATGTCTGCGACGGTGAAACAATATCTAGGTTAGTCGTTAGTTCTGAGCGTCATTTCAAAGTGCATTCGGTTGTAAGACTCGAACGCACAAAATCGAAATTCGGGATACAATTCGGGAGGCAATATATGCGTACGTCATTTTAGCTATAAATAAACGAATAACTCGGTAAGTTTGTAAGTGAAATTTGAGTTGCAAAATATTTATATTTGACAGAGTAGACCCGAGTTCCAGCTAGGACATGCGAATCAATTACAATACTACACGAATGCAATGGAGATTTTTTTTAAGTAAGATTTTTATCAAGAAAATTGTATCGTAATTTTTTTTACCAAAACTTATAATATGGTAAACTCATTATCTCAAGAAGTGCAGTAGCAAATACACGATTCGTTTTGAGCATAACACACCAACTGACCGGCATCTTAATTCTTAAGGCCATTGGTGTAATAATAATGCCACTAGATGTGTTTTAGTTTTTGGAATAAATCACTTTATTGTTATACATATATATATCATTACTAATATATTTTTGACTATTTAGGTAGGTACCTACTTATACAGCGTTGTATAATACACGTCGTTTTTTTCAAATGTTTGTGTTTTCGAGTTAAATAAGTAAATAAAGCGTATCAATCGCGTGGAAACCGTTATAAAATGTTGAAGTTTTAATATGCAAATAAGCGACTGACGGGAATAATATTACGCAATTAAATCGTCGCTAGAAACTTATGAAGTTATCACCTGTAAGCTTTTACGTCAACACGTCGTTTGTATATTAGGTAGGTACTCTGCGGGGTTGTTTAGTCACGCGATCGGGTTTTCGGTCTGACGTCGACCGATAATTGAAAAAATATACCTCCGAGCAGCAGAACATAAAATATTATCCACACGGGCCCATAAAATTACAGTCGACTGCCGTTGAGTGTAATCATACGACAGCCACAGTTTGATGTGCTTTATATAATGTGTAGTAGTATGCTTACCTATGTGTGTACTGACAAAAAAACCCCAAACTCGGAGTCTCTTTTTCGATAATTTGTGACGATATCATATCTGAGCACTCATCTAACGGGGTGGGTAGACAGGTACAACGCCATTGGTAAGTACACCTGCAGCGAGACGTACAATTTAAACAATTTAAAATAATATGCGTACATAACAATGTTAAAAAGTATCCACGGACCCAATACTTTGTAGATCCTACACGTAGGTTTCACGGGACCGGTGTTGCGACAAGATCAGTTTTATTTGACGGGTACAATGTACGAAATATTGTACTAAAGTCTCAACTCCACCGGCGGCGGTAATTGCAGAGCACGCAGTGGCCTCAAATGTATACGTATTATTATAATATAGATGGCAACAATATATCGATGGGGTCTGTAGTTGTTCTTCGACCACGTAATATGTGCCGAAAAAATCCAATAATTACCCATTATATTCATATACCGATTCGGTACTTGTATAAACTGCAGTCAATCTGAGCCGCAATGACATAGCCGGCGGTGCGCGAGTAATGATATTTTTTTAGTTTTAAAATCGCCAAAAAAACGCGACGACCATAATGCGAGTAAAAATTACGTTACCCTCCGCGTGTACCTACCTATATAATAGATGTCATTGATTATTCTCGAGGTTTCACCGCAATGCTGTGCATTCGCGAGGCGGTTTATTCGAGTTCGATTGTTTCTCAAACCGTCTGGGTAGATGACCGTTATGTCGAGTTTTATATTATATACCTACTCGGTGTATAATAATAATAGTGGTTTCGGACGAGGACCGGATAATAAATCGACAGAGAATTCGGGTACCCGAGACAGTCGTCCGCCGCCGTGTCGGTGGCCTGCGGGGCGGGATCGGAGGGGTGGAACATTGCGTCTGTAAAGTTTTGCCAAACAATAAAAACGCCGAAAAGGAAAACATAATAAAACATGTTTACATCCAGATGAATTGAAGATTGTGAAACAAATAATAACGGTGTTCTTTTAAAGTTAATCGAACGTATTATTATTATTATCGCCGTATTGTATATTTTATAAGACGTTTAAAAAATATTTGACGATACCCCAATTTTTTCCAAAATACGGTAGGTACAAATGTAAACGAAAAACGTGTATATATATTATCTACCAGTAACAATAAATAGGCTATAATATAATGTACATGAATAAAACGTCTCCTGTATACTAGATAATATATGTCATGGTGAAAAAAATAAAGTTAAAGAATAATAATGTCATTGTTGTACAGGACAGCCATTTGTTCTCATTTAGGTAGTGAAGCCGAATAAGCAACGGTCGTTTTATAATTAAGCGACTTAAAAGCGAACTATATGAATAGTAAAAATACGACAAGACCGTAATATTAAAAACATCGCACGGAACAGAGCTAAAAACAATACGTTTTTAAGGTATTCATTGAACTTTAAAAAGTATACATATTTATTATTATAATACTCAGTATTATATGTAGGAGTGCTATCCGTTTCTCATTGAAATTATAAATTATACAGAAAGGATCCAACGCATGTTTAAGAGTTAGTGCCCGAGTTACTTTCGTCGTAATCACATCGATCGATTACCTATAAATTAAATATTTGTCATTATTAAAAAGGCAAAAATAAATTAAAAATGAAAACTAATTTATCAATAATCGTTCCATAGAAAATTCTTAATTTCAGACGGTCATAGAATATATTATGATATTTAAGTCCCTGCGACCCGACACCCGCCCATAGCTGTATAATATTGCAGTGTATGGTAAAAATGTTAAAATACAATCGTACTTTGTTTATCGCTCATTAATACATCGATTCCAAATTGATATTCAGAAGAAATGTTAAATAATGTTAATTAATTTTATAGTAAATGTATTAATATAATAATATATTACTCGTTTGTGTTTATTATTATGCATAATCACGCGAGTTGTGCACTCCGGCAGGTCCGGATTTGCTCATATTGTTTTGTCTTTTTCTGATTGGTCGGTTTTGTTTGTTTGTTTACAGCAATGCGGTGGACATGGCAAAGAAGTGGACTATAGTTGGACTAGACAGACAGCCATGAAACAAGGCTATGAGGTAAAATTCTAAAAAAAAACAACAACAACAAAAATTGATAAAAAAAAAACTCAAACGCGTTTGCCAATATTACACACTACTGTATTTCTATACCCCTACCACTTTTAACGCTTACCACTTACACCTACCATGTACCACTACCATTACTACTACTGAATACCACTACTACTACTACTACTACTACTACTACTACTACTACTACTACTACAGGTCATAATGATTTCTACAAGTATTTACTTAAGATGGCCATTAAAAACACTGTTCGTATATTAATATGTATAATATGGATTTATACATATATAATAGGTATAATATCCAGTTTTAGGCTTCAGGATTAAACTGGTTTCTACTCTATAAGCCCTACGTCTTGCTGACACGATTCCTTTTGGGCACCGGAGCAGAGTATTAAAATATTGTATAGATATACTATTAAAGTATTATATAGGTAGAAACGATAATTTTGACGTTGTATCCTGTATTTATAATATGCGTACGATGCGCATGAAATAATAACACCGAAAAGGGTGTACGTTTTTAAGACCAATTCGAACGTAATTATAACTTATACAGGCAATTATAATTATAAGGAATCTACGCATTGTTTTTTGCTGTCCCGTGTTTTCTATAATGGTTCTCCGTCATTTAGAGATATAAATTTGTACCCATTAATTATGTGGTTACCAAATGTGTGTTTTTTTCCCCCCAAAACGACCTACGTTCACAACTCGCAATTCCTTTGTGCATGTATTATACTACACTGACAAGACTTATGGAGCAACCTTTGAACATATGCATTTGCACAAAATACAAACTAATATGGTTTCTGTTATGTTTTAGGCGAAAATGAACAACAACGATCACATTCAACAGCTTTCAAAAGGTACGTATATAGACGATCCATACCAAATATGCATTGAAAAATAAATCAAATCACTGATTTTAATATATGGTCAATATTTCCACGTATCGGCACTTTGACAGGATATATTTTTACGATATTTTATATTACAATATAACCTAAATATATATATTACTTATGTACGGTAATATAATATGCATGTACGCGGACCAAGTATGAGAAGTAGCAGTTCTGTGGTGCTCGTTAGTACATTTAAATGTGTTTAAATATATGGCGTTCGCGTAAAGTAATGCTTTTATCAAAATATCCCCCGCAGTGACATAATGGGTATACCCTTATGTAGCAAATATGGCAAACTGACGGTCAAGCAGAGCCATTATCGAACGATTTGTTTGTTCTATCGCAGGTCCTGCAGATGGCCCGTGGGCATAGAACATGCAGCAATTTATTCCAATACGCATAATAATTAACGTTTTTTTTTTCCCTCACCAAAGATATCGATGTTTGTTGCCATGGATACGACACGCAGGGTCGTAATCGTAGTTGACAGTCATAACGATGGCCGCAGAGTACGTGTCCGAGTTGACAAGGCGAGGCTGTCTATATAATGTACATTGTACTTGTACACATATACACACAATGCATGTATACATACATACACACATACATACGCACTTATATATATTATATACTCAATAGACATGTACAGTGTACACTGTCCATAGGTACTGATGCTCGCCTTGAATACCTTTCCGAGTCGTCTGACACGATGGCTAGTATAGGCTACACGGCTCATTACACCCTCCACTGCAGCGACCGTTCACCCTCTCCTCTGATGGTAGTACCCGGAACGTCATCCGTCAAGTCTTAGGCCCCGGCTGCTGTCTCCGTTACAGTTATAATGCGTATAATATTATAATATACTCCGCCACCGCGATATCACGACGTGTACACGTGTATGCTCATCTATACATATAATATGGAACGAACGCGCGTCCGCTCGAGACCTGGGTTGGAAATAGGACTCACGGTGAGCCAGGGTCGTTTTCCGCGTTTCCAACCTATCAGGCGGTGTGTCTAAAAACTTGCGCCACCTACCTAAATATGTGACTACCGTTTTATAGCAATAAATTGTAGGGATCTGAAACGTGCGGGCGTATTTGTGCGTTACTCGAGAGTATCATCGCGTCTTTACGGTTAGGTTAGGTCGAATTGCACTTGTTTTTGTCGAATTTCACTTGGGACAGAAAAAGGTTCCAATCATTATTGCACATAAGACATGATATTATATATAACCTTATTACTAACGAATATCAGTCGAGAGAATAATTACAAGTACATTTTTAATATCAAAAGATTGTAGTTTTTGTTATATTAATTACATATTGTAGCTACAATTTTTTCGAAATTGGTAAATAGCTGACATTTAAGTATTTACTACATGATTATATTTTAAAAATAATATTGACATAAAAATATTTATTTACGTTTAGGTAAATATATTTTAATACATAGGTGTAGGTTCCTAGATACTAAATCGATTGACACACACATATACAATATTGTAAACTAAAATTAATTTGGGTAAGTTCTATGTGTATAAAATGATCTAGTGCAATTCGAACATTGTCCGTTTTTTAATCTGAGTGCAATTCGAACTCTAATTTGTTTGTACCTGGCACAATCCTATATTGGTTTATAAGGTATATCATCCGATACTTACACATCATCGTAAATCCGTAATGTGCGTTCATCGATAAAAAAAAATACATTATAACTCTGCTTTTCAATGCCATCCTTTCTATTCAAGTCTTAAAATATCAAAATGTAAATTTTTTTTTAAATTTAAAATTAACTGTACAATCTGTAAACAAAGTCTTACAATAAACACAGACGATGTGAAAATTTACATAAGATAAGATAAAAAAGTTTTTAAATTAAATTAAACTGTTAAATAAGCTGTTTTTAGTGACTGTGGGGTTGGGTGAAGGAGTCGAAATGTAAATAATATGAAAATCTTGACACACAATAATGCAATTTGTATACAAGTGCTTATATGGATGTATCTGTTTATTTTTTCACGAAAGGGCATCAAGGTGTGAAAGTTTACGTACCCCTACGTCTCATGCTGAATATTATTGCTAACAAACGATTCAGATACGCGAACATATAGATTATATTCATAATATATTATAACAAACTCGATCGGATTTACATGGGAAAAAAACGTGTTTCACGAGACCTTTGTACGCTAATATTATTTATTTAGTTTAACGAAACCAGTTTAAAAACACTTAATTTGATCGTTTATTTCACATACTCCTATATTCTTAGTTTTATTATTATTATTTTGTTAATATTAATTAAATATTTGCATATCATATAATGCCAATACGATAACTTTAAAATAGTAACGATTGCAAAATACTTTGAAATTATCATCAACCAAAAAATTACGTAGTTATTGATACGGCGCGGTGCTTAAAAATGCAATACATATGTTTGATTTTCTGCATTAATCAGATAGAGTTTGCTTTAAAAATAACATATTATGAACTATTGTGTAACGGCAACATTAATATACAAAATTTAATATTGTTTTATGGTCACAACAAATTCAGAACGAGTTTTAAATTGATACCAACGTATTATTATAGTTGTTTTCAAAGAATAATGACACCGCCAAACCCCTTTGAAACGCCGAATTTTCCATATATTTTGACCTATAGGGATGATTCATTGATACCCACATACAAAATCTGTTATAATTTATCGAAAATATACAGAAAATGTTAATTTTGGTTGCAAAAATAGAAATTCTTTACATAACTTACGTTGTTTTTTTTCACAAAACAATTCGTTTACCATAAATTATTCAATAAATTGTATAAGCTCATGCAACTGATATGTAATATTTATTATTCCATACCTAATACATACCATAATATATTTCTATTGTTCAAAATACTTGAGTAGGTATCATCTAGATTCGTATATAAATGTATTCAACTATTTGGAGTCTTTAAATACCGACAATAGTATACAGTAACAAACAACGTAAGATTTCTTTTCGGTGTTTCACTAATTCAAAATAAATAAATCGTAAAATTTGATCGAAAACCGGTTTTCGCATTGAATTAATCATTTATTTAATATAAAAACAATTTGATAAGTACGTTTATAACCCGTTTGATTCTCATAATATACCTATATGGCTATATAGTACTTAAATAATTTATTTTTAATTTTTATAATCTGCCCAAGTAAACTTGGATTATTTTTAATATTTTTTTATCCATCTCTCACTATATATATATATGCTTATATAAATTAACTGTATGAAAATTATATACTTGGAAACTACTGGTACCAATTATTGGCACCGAATTTCCACAAATATTCTTTAAGACTCGGGGTGTGTTCTCGGTTTCGTTATTTAACCCCTATTATAGGTTTCTATGAGGATAGTTTAGGCTCACGAAAATCGAATGTTGTTTTGTTTATACTCTGTATAAGGTTACTATTGGTTGGAAAAAAAAGAGAGACCTAAACAAAATATTATAGTCTATATAAATTAATGTACTTATGTTTGAAGCATATATACTCAAAAACTTATGGACCGATTTTGATAAAAATGTCAGCAATTGTTTTTAGATATGAATATCAGAAAAGTTAAAAGATGAGCTTGAACCACGTTAAAAAATGTACCAGGCTTATTGCCAATGCCAATCAAATAAAGTCGAACAAAGTACATCCCTGCTGATTGTCTCGTGAACCTACGAACACTAAATAGATATAATACACCTACGCCATGCGCCGTATTAATATTTGTTAATGTTTTGCCAAGAAAAGCCAAGTTGTAGAGCTAACAAGTCCATAGCTAGGCACTGGCAAGAGTGTTGTTTCCAGGGGCTCTATATTATCGAAGGCGCAATATTTCGAGAACATGTATTAAAAGTAGTTGAAGATTTTGCGAATAAAAAGAAATAAATATTTTAAAAATTATAGTACTTATACTTCCATAAATGAGTATACAATTTAGAGAGACGCAAAATATAACTATAATATTTATAGATGTAAGATAATAAATCAATAACTTAAAGTCCTATAACCTAACAGATTAATAACTCGATTGAGACTCAACACGCCAATGTATTGGTATTCAACTACTAGCTCAAGACGTATGATAGCGCGAAGACGGTCTGAAATTATTCTTGGAAATTAAAAAATTTAACTTTCAAGCTTCATCATTCGTTCTGAAGGCAATACAGCGGGGTATAGATAAAATAATTTAGGATGCCAATTTAGTTTTATATCCAGGGATGCAATTAGTTTTCACCACAGCCCTGACGGCTATGGTTTATTATAATATTATATTTATACAATAAATTACTATAAGCGTATCATATCATGTCATTATGTTAAAATAGTTAGGCAAAAAATATGTCTGGTATTCACAATGGTTATCCAAATTCGATTTACAGGTGGTATGGAAGATGGTTCTGGTATGTACCAGCAGCACGGGGGTGGTACGCCGAGGTCACATAGTACGGCAAGTACGGCTAGCAGCATTTCACCCACTGGTAACTCGGCGACGCCCATGCTGATCGTACCGCATCCGATTAATGCTGCTAAAATCACGGACGCACATCACGTGGTCACACATCAAAATGGTGGTGGCAGAAAATATACTTGCAAAATGTGCCCATCGGTAAGTAATTTTGTGTGTACTAACTATTTATAGTATGACGATTAAGAACGAATCTATTATATAATAAGGATTCTATGTTAAATAATAGAAAATTATGGTTTAAAAATTTCATCGGAACACTAGAATTGACAAATACTCAAATGTTGTGAAATTATATTAAAATGTGCAGCTATCAAACAATAATTAATATCATTCAATTTAGTTGCGTTTCAATATCGTTATTGAACGATGGTCTGAAAAACTGATCAGTTAAGAGTCTGTTAACACATATCGTGTAGGTACTCATTAACAGTAATTTCATAATTTGTAGTATTGTTCATTTATTCACCTGTAGATATTTAATCATGCATATAATATTATGTATCTATATGTATTATAAAAAACGTAGACAGATTGAAAATGTAAGTATAATATACATATCAATAATTAAAAATATTTCTATGATTAACTAGATAATAATTAGTAACACATACACTAGTGATATTTAATTTCAAGTTTAAATTTTCAATATAATTTGAAGTCGCATTTATATGCTTTTTTATGAATGCAGTTAAAATAAATATAACCTGTTTTGATCATATAAGTAACTAATTATTATTTTTGTCCTGTACTGGCTGTTGGCCTTACTCGAATTTATACATATATTTATGTAGAAGCTGATTAGTAAGATATGAAAACATAAAATATTGGTCACTGTTTGTACACTGATATGGAATTAAATGTTGCTAATTAGTTTAAAAACTTCTAAACGAAATAAACGATAACAATTTAATCAGAACATTCAATTTATTTCATAATTATAATTGGCTTGTACTATATAACGACATAATAAATAGTTACGTCCTACGTTTGGAATAATATTGGACACTGCCAACCAAATCTTTAAGTAGGTAGGTGACCCTTTTTTACTGAAATTTCCCCCATATCGTGCACCTGCAGTAATAAACAGTCAATATTATATTTATTTTAATGTACTCTCGGTTAATTCGATGATATACTTTATCGATGATCACCTTTTTTTTATTGATTTTTCGAATTTTTCGTAATAGGCGCGTAAGAAAAATATAACTTTTTTTTATTTTCGTTTATTATGGTCAACCACTGATTATTGTCGAAGATTAGCTTAGCACAACATAATCCGTTACATTTGAAAAATTTGTAGAGTTATTAACAAGTAAGTTTATTATAAAAATATAAAATTAAAATTATTATCAAAAGAGGGGAGATAATTTTAAAATGGAACGAATTTAAATTTGGTTTTCAAAAAAGTCTAGCAAATGTGATTGACGTTTTAATTAATTAAAACACATTTAGGTAACAATCTTTCACGCTTATGAAATTATTGCTTAGAGCGAATTAATATTAAAACTACTAATTTATTATTTTTATCTGAGGTAACTAGTGCACATAAAGGTCAACTACCTAATGTAGGAAGCATTTTGTTTGAATGATAGTTTCGATATTCTAGTCACATTTTTAAAACAAAAAATTACAGAAGGCAATTTGAAGATCAGGCCGGAGGCAATCGTCTTCGAGTGTGTCCTATATTTAGTGCTCTAGTTTCCAGTTATCAAAAAAATATAGTATGTAAGCCTTTCAATACTTCGGTGTTTAATAACTCGAAAATTATTTTAAACAACTTAAAAATAATACAACCATTGTATACACTTTTAGATTAGCTTATGAAATCTTTTTATAAATCGTTTTTGATACTTCCAAAATTTGTATCGTAATCAGTATTTAACCCCTTTTTAAATTTTATAATCAATAGTTAATGAACCTTTATGAACTGATTTAAAACCCTTTACTATACCATCCAATTTCTTGGTTCAATCTCTTAAATTTGAAATATTTAAACACATTACCTAATAGCAAATTAATTAGATTATCTAACAAAATATGTATGATTATTTATTTACTTCCCGATTCGCAAATATCCATACCTAAATATTATATTATCATAATCACACTGCGATCTATAGAAAAAAAAACGGTCATAACGTGCAAAAACGAACTAATTAAAATATTTGTTTACAGAAAATAAAATAGGTATCAATAGGTGTAATAATGATATGCTCGATGTATGGATATCAATGTAACTGCAGAGAAGAATAATTAGAGAGAACCACGTGTTGTATATTGCGTTAGAGTATATGTTATTGATATTTTTTCAGTCTGAAAATGTAATGAATTTCGCCGTTCAATAGCTAAATTTTGAAATATTAGAGCCCATAATATCAAATTTATTTAGACCGAAACGAAGTATGTACGGTTATTTATTTATTTCATGATTTTCAGAATTAGTGAATACGCATAGGTAAATAAATATATTATCACTATTTTATATTTTGGAAAACAATCAATAATAACGTGTGGAAACGAATTATAATTACCATATTTGTGTACAGAAAATGAAATAGGTACCTACATAACGATGTGCTCGACGTATATAAAGTATAAATATCCATGTAACTGAGAAGAAGTGAGAACCGCGTGTCGTTGTACATTGCGTTAGAGTACGTTATTGATATTTTTCCCGTCTGAAAATATTCATATACTATTATTATCTTAAACTCAACACCAGCGTCATAGCTGATATGTCTTGGTACAATTGACTTTAAAAAAAACATATTTTCCCGAACTCAGGCATCTCCCACGACGTGTCGTTATCATTTGGATTAGCGTGATCAACCTGACTGTACAGCTTGACTATAATATAAATAATATAATAATACATATTAGTCACTAATATACGTTCAGGCTCATTTGACGGCATAAGCTTATGTTTTCATTTACTATACTTTATTATTTTTTTTTTTTAATATTTTTTTTACGGCCACGCAATGATCTCGAATTAAATGAGACGAAACCGCGACGCAGGGGAGAAATAACACTTTGATTGATTTTTTTTTATTTTCGTTCGTTCTGTCCCGCGAGTTTTTCTTTAAGGACAACCCGGGAATGGGGAGGAATACCCGACCCCAAGTTTTTTTCCCGGCACATTTCGTGTTTATATTTTACACCGTGCGTTGGTGGTAGCTAGCGAGAGATTCAAAAAAAGAGCGTGTGCGAAAAAAAAATTACTTCAATTATTCCATTCCCATTAGACATTTATGTATAGTATTTTCTTTCCCGGAATGTTAGTTTTTAAAAAATCGTTATAACAACCCTGTTTTAATATTATACGGTTCGAGTACGTTATTTTAAACTGTGGGCTTCAGTGCGTTTAAAAGGTTTTTAAATACTTCACATGCATATAGCTGATACATTCATATAGCTTGCGTTTCACATATAAAACTTACCAAAAAATGTCTACATTTTTTTATACTTTTTCCATCAAACTATTCTTGTAATTAGTATAATAATATTACATAATAATGCTAAACATTAAAACATTAAATAAAATATAAAACATTCCTAATATTCTAAACAAAATAAATTTTAGACTTTTCAAATAAATTACACTGAATTCACGATACCCAACTAGTAAATAAACTCATTTTTCAGTTTAGTTTTTTGATGGTTGGTGTTGACCATGATTAGCTCGCCAATAACCCGTCACTATATCGTGTTCAGCCTTATAATATATAAGTTTGACTACTCGGAGGACGACTGTCCGGAATATTGGTATACAGGTAGCTCAGGTATATATAGGTATATATGTAGGTATATAAGCGCGCAAGATGAGGGTCCTGCACCAGTCTAGACCAACAACAACCTCTCCTTGCCTTGATAGTAACGGATATTCGTGTAATTTGCGACCCAGCCGGGTAGTATGTGTAGAGATATAATCACATATATTATTTGTATTCGTATAGGGTATACCATCAGTATACCTATGTAATATAGCTATAGTTGCAGTAGATGACTTGGTTGGTCCGTAAGAGTGGGGAGGAAGGGTGTAGTTGCAGGTGGTCTGCGGCGGACGATGGAGTTGTCTGCTGTGTGTGTACCTGGAATGCAGGTGGGCCAAGTTGGGCAACGATCGTCCTAATAAACCACCGACGATCGACCAAAGCATTGGTCTGGTAAAATGCACTCGTCGCTGTAATAACAACGACGATGTTACAGCAGATATTGTTATTTTTTATTATTATTTTCTTTAAATTTGACGTGAACAATAATATATAATATTGTATACGACAATGATCCTTATTAAGTGGGACACGTCGTATTATACGTATGTTCACCAGCCATGGATCAGAAATAAGTTCATTTTTTGTTCGGAGTAGGCGTATATGTTACCTATGTTATGTTATTTGGATGAACTCAATAATAAGTATTTTTTCAATTTACAAAAACAACATTATTTGAACCAGACTATTGTCTCCTAGAACGATTCCATACACAATATATTGTAATAATATGTTCAGTATATTTTATGCTATATTATGGACATGTTTATTGTGTGTGTATCATACACTATAATGGACCATTCGTTATCATAGCTGTACAAGACTTAAAATACAATTCGTATACAAACTTATTACGGCGTTACTGTAACAACTTAAATTTTTTTCTCATAAACATTATCTACAATCATTATAAAATGATCTTTTTACGTGTTCTTGCTATTATATTGTGCAACATTAATTTACAAAAACTATAGTTGAAAAGATTTTTAATCATAGATAGTTAGTATTATATTATGATCGTTAATGAGTTAGCTGAGGTAGATGATCAATTATCGTCATCGTTTCGGTGGCTGATGCGGTCTTGTGAACAAAACTAAGTTTAAGTACGTTTTCGCTCTATGATTGACTTTCGTGTGTATAATGTGTTTAAGTAAGCACAGCCACTTAAATACATCGACGTTTAATGACAGTTTAAAGTAGATTTTGACACTGACGCGAGTGGCGTGTACTGTGGTTCGCGTCGATAGCGTTAATATAAGAGCAAAACGGAGAGAAAAAAATCGGTTAACACATAGTTACACATAATATGGCAAAAACAGGACGAAGCACGAAATAAAAACGATTCTATTGATTTTTTAAAAAAAA